CCTCTAAGGGTTTGTTGCCTTGGGCATCTCTAATGCTTCAAACTGGAGCACAGGGAGAAATCCCATCTTTGCCAATGGAAGCAGGAGTGCCAAGGAATCTAATACAGCATTAATATATATGTAACACCTGAGGAGTTAGAAACTGGGATCATTTTATGTCTGGCCGAGGTTGCCTAAGAAGCAGCAGTGCCACTATTTAATACCAAACACAACAACAGAAAGCAAGTATATGTAAGGGATAGATATGCATTGTTTAATTCTTCCTTATAAGACAAGTGTAACTTCGGTTCAATAGTACCTAGTAATGGTGAATTGACAGACTTTATTGCTATTGTGTATTGGGAAAAGACATTCATGCTCACAGTCAAAAGAACCAAAGTCCTACCCCTGCCACTTATTGTCAGTATCTCCTTGAGTAAGTTGCTTAAATTCTATGATCTGCCTGATATAGCTGGAGTGCAATAACTGTTCCTTTTTTTTTGTTAAGTTTTAAATGTTTTGACAAGCTCTATTAAAAATAGGAACAGAATGTCAGACTTTGCTTTCATGAAGTCAAAAGTCACTACTAAATTATTGAGTTCATGCATCACATTGTAAAAGAACTTAGGAAGATAAAGAAAATGGAAGTAAATATCCTGGTTCTAGAGCCACAAAATGTCAGTGAAAATAAATAAACAAGTCTATGATTTTTAAGAAAGATTTTGTAGGGCAGCCCAGTGGCTCAGCAGTTTAGTGCCGGCTTCAGTCCAGGGCCTGATCCTGGAGACCCGGGATCGAGTCCCAGGTCAGACTCCCTGCATGGAGCCTGCTTCTCCCTCTGCCTGTGTCTCTGTCTCTCTCTCTCTCTCTCTCACTCTCTCTCTCTCTCTCTCTCTCTGTCTCACATGAATAAATAAATAAAATCTTAAAAAAAAGAAAGATTTTGTAGAGGAGCAAGACAATGCAGTGGGAAATAAGGAAAGACTTTGGAATAAATGACAGCTAGGGTCACATCCTAGTTCTGCCACTTATTAGTTGTGTGACTCTAGGCAAGAGTCTTAATATTATTAAGACTCTTTTTCCTTGTGGACAGGAAAAGGATTTTATCACATTTCATGGAAATCTAATATTCTGTGTATTGTGAGACTCATTGTTCTTCCACATATAAGTAGGAAAAGAAAACACTGCCAATTAGAAGCAATACTTCCTTACAATGCAGAATTTTTATTTCATATTTGTTTAAAAAGATCCTTTAAATATAGTCAGAGTTCATCCACATGTACTCCTGAAACATAAATAAAAAGAAAAACTTAGCAAAATAGACTATTTGATGTCTTTCTCAAATTTTACATAGTGAGATCTTTCTGAATTACTTTTGAGTCAGAATCATCCATGTCCCCATTTTTTCAACGTAATATTGGTCTCTATGCCATCAAGAGTACTGATGATATTTCTTTTTTAAGAAGCTGTCTCTACTGTTGTTCCTAGAATTTTCTTCCAAGTCGTGCTTTGCTGCTTCCATTTTTGTGCCACCAGGAGTAAAAATCCAGGTTGCTCACAAGCAGGCAATGACAACTGGTTTCATGTACTCTGTCTTTCTCACAGTAACTATAAGACATTGTATGGTGCATCCTGATTTCAAGAATGCAAAATGTGAAAAAATGGACATCTTAGAATTGTGAGATTTGGAAATGACTTAATTCTCATAGAACTACTGTGAGCATTAATAAGAAAATGCATGAGGGATCCCTGGGTGGCGCAGCGGTTTGGCGCCTGCCTTTGGCCCAGGGCGCGATCCTGGAGATCCAGGATCGAATCCCACATCGGGCTCCCGGTGCATGGAGCCTGCTTCTCCCTCTGCCTATGTCTCTGCGTCTCTCTCTCTCTCTCTCTCTCTCTCTCTGTGACTATCATAAATAAATAAAAAAGTTTAAAAAAAATTAAAAAAAAGAAAATGCATGAAAATGATTAATAAGGATAATAACATAAATAAATGGTAGACATTCTATTCCAGGGAAGTGAGAAAATGCACCTCCTCTGGTCTGTGACTCCTCAACCATATTCCTGGGATGGTCAGAAATACTGAATTTGATTTTTCAAAACCTTAGAGATTATACCGTCCTATTTGAGGATTGGCATTTCGCACACGATGGACTTTGTGAGTCTGAAGCAAATATTGCCAATTGAGTGTTAATTCCAGTCTCTTATTCCCTCCCTCCAGAAACAAAACAACAAAAATCCTGTGATCTCACAAAGGCATGGTAAAGTCACTGGAGTATGATCCTCTTTCTTCTTATCACTCTCCAACTCCCTGGTCTCTAGGGCACCACTCACTCATCCCCTACCACCACCCTATGATCCATTTCAAGTTTCCATTTAGAAATTCTCTTCAGACAAATGGCAGGGGGCATATCAATAAAAATATCAAAACTTCTTTCAAGGGTAAATGAAAAGTAACCATAAGAATTACTTGGGATTTTTTAAAGGCTAGAGCCAAAGGACTGTGATGACACTGAGCTTTATTATCTTACTTCTTCAATGAGAGGCCCAAAGATCAAGTTAATCTAAATAAAGGGAAAAAAGGAGGCACCTGGGTGGCTCAGTTGGTTAAGTGGACGACTCTTGATTTTTGCTGGGTCATGATCTCAGGGTTGGGCTCCGTGCTCAGTGGGGAGTCCACTGGAGACTCTCTCTCTTCCTCTCCTTCTGCCCCTCCAGGTCGCTTGCATGTATAAATAAATAAGTCTTAAAAAAAAAAAAAGTACGGAAGAGAAACAAATCCTTCTGAGAGTTTCTGCAGAGGATTAAAGCAACAGTGCAAAAATGAGCCTCTCTTATACCCTAGCTGCTCAGGAAATCACACATTCTCTTATAAGCTCTATAATTTGCCATAAAAGCTGGACCAGGGCAAATTACTCAAACCAAGAACCTGTTTGTGATAGAAATGTTAAGAGAAAACCAGCAAAGGGTAGAGAGGCAGAGGGTAGGTGGAACAGAGAATGACCAGGGCAGGACAATATCAAATAGGACAAAGCTTTCAATCTGGCTCTACTGACATTTTGAGCCAAATAATTCTTTGTTTCGGGGGGAGTCCTGTGTATTGTAGGATATTTAGCAGCATCACTGGTTTCCATCCATTAGTTGCCAGTAGCAACCCCCCGCCCCCAAACCGGTGCCCTATCCCTGTTCCTGAGTCCTAACTTTCAAAAATGTCTCCAGACTATCCCAATGTTCCTGGGAGGCAAAATTGCCTCTGGATAAGAACCACTTACATAGGATAATATTAACAAATCAAAGTTTATGTTTTGTTCTGAGATATCAAGAACCCAAAAGGAGTCTGAGTTTGGAAGATTAATTCATGCAAGAATAATTCTCAGGGACAGTGTTTCAACCTTCAGCTCTGGGCTTGCTGATTATTCTCTCTCTCTCTGACACTGAACATGAAACTTTGGCCTGCAGGGAGCAGCCCTCTAAAACAGAAGTCTTTGCCATCTCTGCCTGAGATCTTTCCCATAACATCAAAGATTGGTATCAGTCCAATTCTCCTAGCCGGCTGGAAAGGAGCTGCAGAAAAGCCTGGAGGACCCCTTCCTTCTGTACGCAGCAAATGTGAATTCACCAGCGTGAAAAGGAAAAACTGAGTTTAACAGTGGTGTTATTTGAAGCTTCCTCTATTCCCAGAGTATTACTAGCTTCTCCTGAATGTTCATTTTGAAAATTCAGTAATTGTGAAGCACCTTTCTTTTGAACCTCATTGTTGTGAGACAATTAGCAGAACCTTACAAATCTGTGCTTTGGGAAAGTAAAATTTGAACACCAGAAAACTCAGTGGTAGTTGCAAACTGTAGTGTGTGTATTTCCTCACAGTGCTTGTTAAAAATGGGGATTCCTTATATACATCCAATGGAATATTATTCAGCCTTTAGTAAGGAGGAAATTCTGACATCTGTTACACAAGGATGAATCTTGCAGATGTACTAAATGAAATAAGCTAGTCACAAAAAGACAAGTACTCTATTATTCCACTTATATGAGGTACCTAAAGTAGTCCAATTCCAGAAACAGAAAGTAAAATGGTGATCGCAGGGGTTGGAGTTGGCAGGAAATGGAGAGTTACTGTACTTCTTGGTATAGAGTTTCATTTGCAAAATGAAAGTACTTCTGAAAATAGATGGTGGTGATGGCTACAAGCAATGCATATACTTGATGCTACTGAACCATACATTTAAAAATGGTTATGATGGTAAATTTTCTGTGTATTTAATCACAATCAAAATTAAAAATACTTGGGATGCCCAGGTGGCTCAGTGGTTGAGCGTCTGTCTTTGGCTCAGGTCATGATCCCAGGGTCCCAGGATCGAGTCTCACATAGGGCTCCTTGCATGGAGCCTGCTTCTCCCTCTGCCTGTGTCTCTGCCTTTCTCTTTCTCTCTCTCTGTGTCTCTCATGAATAAATAAATACAATCTTTAAAAAAATAATAAAAATACCAAATAAAAAATGCAGACTACAGATTACCACCAGTGATTCTGATTCTATGGGTCTGAATGGGCTCAGAAATTTGCATTTTTAACAAATAATCCAGCTGATTCTGACCTTCAGATAATCTTTTGAGAAGTACTAGCTTATAAAAGAGATAAAATACAAGAATGTACTTAGACCAATTAGAAATGAGTGGTTTGCCAGAAATGCCAGTACATAAGTTTCTTGGATGAAAATAAGACTTAAAGAATTGGTGCATGGGGAAGAACTCCAAAAAATAGTACGACAGTCCCAGGGCTACAGAAATGTCCCTAGATTTGATCTAAGAGAAGGCGATTGGCAGACACATGGCATCTTGTCTGATGAAACTGGGCGGAGGCATGAAAAATTAGTGAAGGGGAGGGATTGTTCACATGCATAAATCACGGGGTGAGGAAAGTGGATAATTGCTTGGCATTTAGGTAATTACGCATGCAAATTAGAAGAACATATATATGAGCCAAACAAAACAAAGACAATTGTTAATACGTTCTAGAGCCACCATGCCAGTCACACCATCATTTCCAGCTGCCCAGATGTAAGTACCAGCATTGACATGGTTTCCAATTGTTTGATGCTCTGATAGTCATGTGTTAATGCAAGAATGTTTTATTTGAAGGGTATTTTATGCATGGAATGAGAAAAAATTAGGATGGAGTCTTTTCCAGTTGGCTTCATATCCTCCCCACACGAAACACTGCACAATACTTAATAAATATAGGCCTAAGCAAGTTTTAAAAATACTTCTCCTTCCCAGTGTTAATATTGAGTAGAAATTTTAGAATTCTTTTTTTCTATCTTTCTGTTCTTCTAGCTCTTCAAGGCATGTGAGAGAAAAGCTGATAATAAAGGGAAGAAACAAATAAATTTCTTCTTCTCTTTATCTGAAATATTTTGTTGGATTGTGATATTTTCATTAGTAATGTTTTATATTTATGTTGTATTAGTTTATGGTCTGGAACAGATTCTGTTCATTCTCAGATTCATATTTCAAAGTATTTCTGGGGACAAGCCTGTATGTTTAGACCTCCTACTCTCTCCTATTTCTCTTGAATGTCAATTTGATGACTCAGAGGGCTAATGAGAAGCCCATCATATATGATCCTCATAGTGTGTGAGGGTAAATGGAAATGCTTTCAATGATTTATACATTTTAAAAGACAATGCATGGTATAGAAAAATTGAACATGGGGTAGAATGTATGTGTTTAGTACAATAAAAATAATTAAGATATGATTCCTGTATACCATCTAGCCAGGGCAGAGAGGCATGTAAACAAAAAGTGGTAGGAAGAATTAATTCTAGGTTCTGTGATAAAGGTCTGTATGGGTAGAGTGAGACTTAGGGGGAGGGTTGTCATCAGGCTGGGATGAGTCACACAGGGAGAGCTTGAGAAAGTTTTCTCATGCAAAGTGAATCTTTAGTATTAAACTCTTGTCTTCCAGCAGCTTAAAATAGAGAAGTTTACAGTCTCACTAGAGAGTCCAAAACAAAAGTATATTTTAAAAAGTGAATAATTTGGATCTTAGTGGTGTGAGACTGATTAACAGATCAGAAAGCTTTTGGAAGAGAAGGATAGGTGGGTGAGAATAAGAACAAAGGAAGTAAAGTGAAGCCCAGCGTCAGAATGGGCAGGTTGTACATAAGTACAGTGGAGCAGATGAGGAAGCATGAGGCAATGGGGATGAGTCTGAAGAAAGATGAGACTACTAGCAACCCAACTGAACAGAGTGGGTGCCAAGGGATAGCAGGGTCAGATCGGGATGGGTTTTGGGAGGCAGGCAGATTGAGGATTGGTATAGAAGGTGATGTTGATAGCTCACAGTATCCTGATCAGAGAAAGTTAGATGCCAAAAGTAATATTTCAGGAAAACAAGTCTAATTTCAGTTTCCAAAAATGGACTAGAAGTTGCTTAAATTGGAGGTTGGGAGGTCAGTACAGGGGCCCTGCAGTCCCCTAAGGCGGGGGTTCTCAGATCTAAGAGGGGCCAGCCACATAGAATGGGAACAGAAGGGAGTGACAGTCACTGTCTCTGATGGTAAATTATTACATTTGTGTTTCTCTACCCGCTGTTTAGAATGATTCGTCATCATGTATGTCCACTATACAGGGGTCAGGGCAAGCAGCCTTATCAATTGAGATCCATTAGAGAAGCTGAGAAGCTTTTCAAAGGACACAAAATTACCAACGAGTAGAGCATATATCTCAGAAGCCAGGACTCTCAATCCAGAGCACTGTGATACAGGATTTCTTGACCTCGGCACTATTGACATTTTAGACCAGATAATTCTTTGTGGGGAGCTGGTCTATACCTGGTAGAACAGCATCTGCGGCCCCTGCAATAGATGTCAATAGCACCCATTCACCCTAGTTGTGACTATGAAAAACATCTCCAGGCTTTGCCAAGTGTCCCTGGGGGTACCAAAATCACCCTCGATTGAGAACCACTGCTCTGATACACCATGCAGTTAATTTTTATAGAAATAACATTTCCTTCTATGCTCTACGTAGGCAGATATTTTCCATTTCCTTCTCTATAAACATCAGGTTAGTGCAGATCAGACACTGAGTCTTTTCAGGAAGAGAGGAACCCAAGGAGCAGAGTCACTGCTTTCATGATCAATTCATTTTAGAAAGGACAGCTAAGGGGTGCCTGAGTGGCTCAATCAGATGAGCATCCAACTCTTGATTTCAGCCCAGGTCATGATCTCAGGGTTATGGGACAGAGCCCAGGTATGGTTCCAAGCTCAGCAAGGAGTCTGCTTGAGATTCTTTCCCTCTGTCCCCCCTCTAATAAATAAATCTTTTAAAAAAGAGGGGTGCCTGGGTGGCTCAGTTGGTTAAGCATCTGCCTTTGGCTCAGGTCATGATCCCAGGATCCTGGGATTGAGACTGGCATCATGATCCCTGCTTAGGCTGATGTAGGACTTGATCCTAGGACCCCAGGATCATCAGGCTAAGCAGGGAGCCTGCTTCTCCTTCTCCCTCTGTCTCTGCTCCCCCTGCTTATGCTCTCTCAGTCTCCCTCTTTCTCTCTCTGTCAAATAAACAAATAAAATCTTCAAGAGAAAGAAAGAAAGTAATGACAGCTATGATTTACTAGCAGTGAAAGGTCTCCACCTTGAAATGCCCTATTAGGGTGCTCCACTATCACACCCTGGCACTTTGGGGATGATGGTTTGATACTCTTGTCTCAGAAACTTGTTTCTACCTCCTGAAACTCCACTCTCATCCCTGTAATTTTTTTCTTGGAAATGTCCTTCTTGGCCACTGACCTCTTCTTTGTTCCCATTCTCTTCCAAGGCAGTCCCATCCCACTCAGTTCCGGATAACTCAGCCTTATTTCTCTAATGTATTTACTCAATGACTTATGAAATCCTTAGTAACTTTACCAAAATTTTCTTTTTTCCCCCAAGTTTTTACTTAAATTCCATTTATTTAACATATAGTGTAATACTAGTTTCAGGGGTAGAATTTAGTGATCCATCACTTACATTTAATACCTGGTGCTCATCCCAGCAAGTCCCCTCATTACTGCCCATCCCCCATTTAACCCTTTCCTCACATCTACCTCCCCTCCAGCAACCCTCAGATTGTCCTCTATAGTTAAGAATCTGTTTTCTGATTTTCCTCCCTTCTCCTCCCTCCCTCCATGTTCAACTGTTTCATTCCGTAAATTCCACATATGAGTGAAATCACATGGTATTTGTCTTTCTCTTGACTTATTTCACTTAGCATTATATTCTCTAGCTCCAACCATGTCATTGCAAATGGCAAGATTTCATTCTTTACCCAAATTTTATATACTATTACAGACTTTTGTTTAATGTTCCTTCCCCCTTTATCCAAAAACTGATTTTGTCTTCATAACCCAAATTTTCTTCTTGACCAAAGATGGTAGCCATTTCTTGAGTTGCTTTCTTCTCATTGACCCTGGGGTCTCAGGACCCTCAGGTAGTAGCATTCTCTTTGGCCTCCACATCCACCTCCAGATCACTTTTCTGGCTGCCTTTGGTGGGTATCCTATTCTTTAAAAATCATCTTTTGGATATTAGCCATCCCATCTTCTCATCTATAAAAACCACGACACTTGCTTGTGGAAAAGAGACTGGGGTCCCAATCTCCTCAGCAGGAAAATCAGATTTCTAAGTTCTAATTGTAATAATAATATACATAAAATAAATACAGAAAATACCAAAAAATTGTGTAGAGTAATAAGGAAAGAATGAATTGAAAGGAAAATAGGTTCTCTTTCATCAACAAAAGCATTCAGTCCTTCTGCCAACTAGGCAAAAATCAGTACATACCTCCAAAAATTACTCTAAAATAGATCAGCTGCCATCCAAACATCTTTTCTGTCCTGGACCACTAGATAGATCTCAAATATGTGTTTACTTGGGGATAATAGCCTTGAGCCTCCAGGCTTGTTGTGCCTCTGGATATCTATATTCTAGAATTCCAGTCATCTTTTCCCCTAAATCTCTGAAATCTGTACCTGCTACTTCTAGAAGCAGACTTTCTTTTTTCCAGCTTCATCCATAAGAAAGCCTTGCCCCTGAGGGTTATTAGAGGTTATTAGGAAGTGTTCTCTTCAGCCACAGGCGAAGGTATTTGTTCCAGCAATCAGAGTCATGAGGAACAAACAGGCCATAAATCAGAACAGGGTGGCTGTGCCATGTGACGGTTCACAGCTCCTTAGACTTAAGGCTGTCCTGCTGGACTAAACTTTAGCTTCATGGTTTGAGAAGATTGAATTAACAACCCACGTTATGTTTGATGCACTGAGTTTATATTTGGAATATTCCCTTGCTACTGGAGTGAAGAAGGGAAGTTTATAATTTAGTCAACATTGACAATTTAAAAAAATTTTTGAGGTGAAATTCATATAACATAACATTAACTATTTTAAAGCAAGTGATTCAGTAGCATTTGGTACACACTTGTTCACCTACCACCTCTGTCTAGTTTTGGAACTATAATTTTTAAACCAACCTAGGAAATTATAGGATTTGTACAGTATTTGTAGTAGGCATTGGATTTCTCTGTTCTTTTCTCATCCTACTGAGATCTTATAACTCACCTTATGATGTTAAAGACAGTTTTGGTGAAGTGGGAATTCAAAGAAGACAGTAAGTTACACAAAAGAAAAGTTGTCTAGCCCAGGTAGTTTGCCTTTCTGGAAAATTGCTGGGTAATATAACTCTCCATAGAAGACACTTTTCAAAAAGAGATGTAGGAGGGATGCCTGGGTGGCTCAGTGGTTGACTGTCTGCTTTTGGCTCAGGGCATGATCCCGGGGTCCTGGGATGGAGTCCTACATCAGGCTCCCCATGGGGAGCCTGCTTCTCCCTCTGCCTATGTCTCTGCCTCTGTCTGTGTGTGTGTGTGTGTGTGTGTCTCATGAATAAATAAATGGAATCCTTAAAAAAAAAAAAGAGGTGTAGGATGTGGGGGAAAATAACTACTTACAAGGACCATGTGAGGAATTTGGAGGAAATGAAATTAAAAAGGGAAACTAGAATAGAAAGGTAAAGAAC